TTCTTAAGCTCTTTTCAAAGGTGATGGTTCGTTAAAGTTATATTTATGAACCAAATATAAAAGCAAGCATAAATAAGTTGTTGCATTATTACAGGGACATATTTGTTTTATTTTATTTTATCTGGACTTTTACGTTCTTTGTATAAAGATTTAGTCCGAGAATACACGAGAATATTTTTCTGGAACATTTTAACCCTCTAGCAGCATCGCAAATACAGTTTTTTCATAATAAAAAAGTGCTCAAAACGACCCTTTCGTAAAAGATCTACAAATTATCCAAACAACATATGGGTATTTCTAAACTGGCGTTACGTGACACTCGTGGTGGACGTCTTAAAGTATAGTAGATTTTATAATTTCAATGGGAAATCAGTACCGATTTTTTATATTGTTTTTTTTTTTTTGTATGGGGAGTGATGAAGTTTAATTTACACACCTATGTACGAAATAATGGCAGTGCGACATTTTGACCAGTTTTGACTATTCTTGTTTACATTGAATAATTTTTATTAATTTTATATAGTGGGCTTTATTAACTGACTTCACAAAAAGAAAAGGTTATCAATTCGACGGAATATTTTTTTATATTTTTTTTTAATGTATGTTACCACATAACTTTTGACCACGCTAACCGATTTCTATAATTCAAATTTTTTTTAAACGATCATTGGATCATGAATAAATTAACGATAATCTTAAATTTGTATATGAGAATTAAGTCGATTTTGTTTTTTGCTTAAAAATTATCTGTTTTAATTTTTAAGTGATTTTAATTTTCACTTTTCGAGTCTATGAATAATATATGATTGTTTGTTATATACTGGCTAAATTTATATAATTTATGATTGTGCCAAAAGTGCCCTTGTGCCAAAAATGGCACTATTGTGCCTACTTTTCCATCACTGCTATCTACTTTGCACAAGTTGCTTCTCTGAGAATGGATAATATTTTTATTGTTTTTATTTTGAATGTGTAATATGTAAGCAGCCGAGGCTCGCCTTCACCAAAGGTCGTTTCTTATCAAAGCCCGCAGAAGCACCCACTCATGGCGCCAAATTATTGACAGAAAGAGATTTAATCTAATAATTTAATAAATCCACCGCCAACTCATTCATATTAAAACCGGAAAATACTGGACATTTTTTAA